TCCAACGGCCGTCGGTAAGGTTAAAAAGTTTTGATCAAAACAATGAATCTTACGCCATATCCTCAAGATTGTCTCCGAAGCATGCACAGCGCCAGACGTTGCCGCCTGTGAGTTAGGGCGCACTCAGACCAGCAACACACAGCCTCCTGCTCATTGTGCTGGTGGAGACGGACATCCTCGGTCATCACGGACGTTGATCATCCTCGATCATCACGGACGTTGATCATCCTCGGTCATCACGGACGTTGATCATCCTCGGTCATCACGCACGTTGATCATCCTCGGTCATCACGGACGTTGATCATCCTCGGTCATCACGGACGTTGATCATCCTCGGTCATCACGGACGTTGATCATCCTCGGTCATCACGGACATTGATCATCCTCGGTCATCACAGACGTTGATCATCCTCGGTCATCACGGACGTTGATCATCCTCGGTCATCCAGGTCTTTGACGATCCTTCACTTCACTGGTGGCCACGTGGTACCTCACAAGTCGACTAGTAACTTTGTGGTTAATGTTCTAGTTAACATCAACATTACTACAAAATAAGGCTGTGTCAGTGCCAACTACGTCCATCGTGTACTTCTGACAGTCTACGCCTTGTCTTGTCAAGCAACGAAACGTGTTTTAGTACCTTCGTGTTTTAATTCAGTTATGAAAATACTAGTGTACATACTGCAATTACGAAATACCACAGTTTTCTTTGGCTCCTTTGGAGCACATGAGGACGCTACCCTAGCTTCTGGGAAATTGTGTGAAACAGGTGCTTTGTCTGTGCTTTCCAGTACGATCGCCAACTTGGACCAATTAGTTAAGAATTCACCTTGTATAATTAGGTGATGTTTAGTTAATGATCATCCGTGTATATATAGTGACGTGCGTGTGTGTATATGTGTGTGCATATGTGTGTAGATATGTGTGTGTGCACGATTCTGCCGTCCGCACTGCAGAATGCACACCTTCAACCTGTATCCCTACGCCCTGCACCATTGGCAACATGCGCTCTGTCACCCGACAGGGCTGCACCCAGCGCCCTGGCACTGTGAACCCTGTACCTGCAAGCCCTATTTTGTACATTATCTCCATTGTGTTTCAAAAGCGGGGTAAATACAATGGGGTCAAAACTGAGTAAAATAGAACATTTGCATGTACCACTGATTATGTTCTGTTCGCAGAGCTGCAAGACAGAGAGAAAACCGTGGCTTCCCTTCAGTCTCAGCTTACCAGCGTTTTTGAACGTCTCGACAAGATGGACGAGGAAGTCCACAATAAACGTAAGACAGTTATGTCCTGCCATTGGCATGTCTTGCCCCGCATTCATCCCTCTGTCCTGTGTTAATGTATGATCCATCTCAATGTTACTTGTCTGATTTCCATCTCCGATAGATGTGAATAAGGACATTTCTTTTAACTTAGCTGTGGTTGAAGTCGCACTCAGCAATATTCCAGCTATATCACGGCCAGCTGTAAATAACTGTGTTTTGGACAGTCAAACCAGAAACTGATATTTATACCAGTGATTGGCACTAAATCAGCCTACCCACCCTGCATGAAGACATGTTAAATTTTCTCACCTAAGTGACGAAGAAGGATAAACGCTAGATAAGAATTGGTATCCACATCTGAATGCAAAGTGACGTAGACGGATGGTGACTAAATATGAATTGATTTCTATATTATATTGCAAAGTGACATAGACGGATGGTTGCTAGATATGAATTGGCTTCTACATCCGATTGCAAAGTGGCGCAGACAGATGGTGACTAAATATGAATTGGTTTCTACATCTGGTTGCAAAGTGACGTAGACGGATGGTGACTAAATATGAATTGGTATCCACATCTGATTGCAAATTAAAGTGGCGTAGACGGATGGTGACTAAATATGAATTGGTTTCTACATCCGATTGCAAATTGACGTAGACGGATGGTGACTTAATATGAATTGGTTTCCACATCTGATTGCAAAGTGGCGTAGACGGATGGTGACTAAATATTAACTGGTTTCCACATCCGATTGCAAATTGACGTAGACGGATGGTGACTAAATATGAACTGGTATCCACATCTGATTGCAAAGTGACGTAGATTAATATGTTAGCAAAATTATGTTCTGTTATGGTGTTAAGAATAATCTTTTTTTCTTGACAGGACTTAGTGCTGACAGTAGGATATACTCCCTGGAGAAAGAGCAGGAAAAGCTCAAGGCCAAACTGGATGTGGATGCCGCCAAATCCTCAACATATGGTAAGTGCAGTTCACATATGAATTGCCAGGAGTATTTATGGGACTGTGTGAACCATTACTGCATGTAGGAAGACGGTATAACAGGGAATTACGGTGTATTCATTGAAAAGTAGGGAGTGAAAATCTAACATTATTATGCTATTATGTTATTTTGACAACAACGAATACTGGTATGATCTTGACAATTCTATGGTCAGGCGGTTCTGTGATTGGAATGCCTGGGCCCCGTTCCTCAAAGCGATCGTAGCGCTACGACAGTCGTAAGTCTATGTTAAAGTATGGGAGTTACGATCACCTTAGCGCTACGATCGCTTTGAGGAACGGGGCCCTGGTCGCCAAGTGCGGTCACAACTGAGAGACGTAATTCGGGTTACATCACCTTGGTCACTTGCGTCCCCTGCTTGATACATGTAGTACAGTTATGGCACTATTGAAACTGTGTGTCTTTTAACGGTGTCGTTATCGTATTGCAAGAAACAAAAGTGTTTCAGTTTCTGTTAAAAAAGAACAGTTATTATACCAGAAAAGTGTCTTTTTACGGTACAGTTTAATGGTACATTTATCGCACTGTTAACACGGTGTATTTGAATTAGTATTTAATGCTACATTTACGGCGCTGTTAAAAAGGTGTATTTGAGGTACTATGTAATGGTAAAAGTGTGGTTCCAGTTATCTCGTCTGTAATGTTCAGTTTATATTTCAAGCTGGTCAAGTGCTAATCTGATAAGGCCTAATAAACACCTCGTATATACCTCACGATATACATCGGTCGGCCTCCAATTTAAGCATATGCAATGTACAAACTTGAAAGGAGTTTAATTCGTCACTCCCTGCTTATAAGGCTTTAGATGGACCCGTTGAATCGGAGCTATTTCTATGAAACACCAAAACGCAAACATGGTTAGACATTGGTGATACTGGCTACTTACAACATGATGCTGTTGATCCACAGAAATGAAAAGATCATTATTCAAGATTGTATGTGATGCTTTTGACGCTTGTTTCATAAGATTGTTAACAAATCCCTATCAGATACATTTCAATCCAGTTATTTGTATTCATTGGCAACGTCCTACATGCATACAGGTAACATTGTGTTCAGTTTAGGGTGGGTAACTAATATACATGTACTGTGTGTATGACGATAACACGATCTTTTCGGATCAAAATACATGCGGTTCCTTTTGAAGGAAACGATAAGGGAATTGTTCAAATTACAATTTCCTCTTTATTTGGGCATGTATAGCTTTCATCTGTAGTCCTACAATGGATGCTTGAAATAACGTGGAAGTCATTTTCGACCATAATCAAATTATGACACATTCGGGTTTTTTTTCCATTTAGATATTTTGTATGTGTCCAGTGTATGTCTGCAGTCCTGTCCCACCAGCGAGTTCTCAGTGGTGCCAGAAGCTGCCTGAGTGTTATCATATCCTTGATGTGTTACAACAGTTAAAAGCCTGAGCTCATATCTGATCATGACATTCTAAATGACCGCGGCCCTTTGCCCATTTGAGTACCTCGGGGATATGACAGGGAGCAGTCTGTGTGGACGTCTTAGGAAGCCGACTACGTTGGTTGAACTTGGTTAGGCGCTGAACGAGGAGTGAGACAGACTCTCTCAATTCACCACTTGCAGATTGATGTCGAGTGAATACATGTTTCCCAAGTCGTGGCAGTATTACCCACTACTGATCCATAAACGTCAGCTGTGAACTTTCGCCATCCTAACCATAATGTGGTTCACGATATTTGACGATTATAAGATATACATCATAATCGCTCACCGTTCCCGACGTTATTCCACGCTAGCCGTTCGTGGCGATAGTAATCTCAGGACAATCTTCAAAGCTAAGAGAATGGAAACCATAGAAAATGATGGTTTTGTAATTGTGGAGCCACCTACAAAGAAGATGAAACCCGTATATAAAAGATCCTAATGCAGAAACATTTTGGAACGACATGGAAAGAATACGTGAGATTACAAAACTGAAAACGCTGAATCCGAAATGGGAAAGTTTAAAGATTTGTAAGATTAGCATGGCCTAAACTTTCGAAGCTCTCTTAGTTCTATGATATTCGTAAAAACATTAGCAATATCGACAGACGATCTTAGCGCTGACAGCTTCGAAAATCTAGACCCAGGGGTATCAGTAAGTTAGAAACACATAAGTGAAATGCCATTAACTCCTATTCTACAGAGCTGGAATGTTCTAATGACGATGAGTAGGAAATCCGCCACAGATTAGGGTAGGTGCGACAAATAGCCACGGATTTGAAAATCTGCCATGGATTTGGAAATCCACCACGGATTTGAGGCCTGCCATGGATCCGAGTCCTACATATATATCCCTGGTTGTCGATACAATGGCAGCTTCATTCAAACGTTATATATTTGTGTTTTTGTGGTTTTATGTTACTATTATTTTAGTATTTTTATCGTCACTGTTATACATTGTTAAGGCAGTTGTGACTTTATATTTCAGTGGATGTATTCGTTTGGTAGAATTTGATTCTCACGTTTAGTAATACTGCAAAACTTCAGGACAGTAAAAATCGAAGTTCAATATCATAGGCTAGCCCAAAGAGAAGCTACGTAATGTGTGGGCATATTTTCCTGAAATACACGAATGTGACACACGAGAAGTTCCCGAGTATTGAGTGACAATATCTTACGTATTTTTAACTTATACTGGCAATTGTGTATTTGCTTTCAGCAAGTCAGATTTGTCTATATTCCCTTTTCAGTTGATGCAGTGAAATCCGACTTTCGAACATTACAATCAGATTTACGAGCAGTGAAAAGTGAGGTTCAAACAGTCAACTCGTCTCTGCAAGAAGGTAGACGTTTCACAACTATCCGATATTGCTGTTTGTTTAAACGTATATTTCACTAAGGACTGACTGACTAACTGAGGTTAGTTTTACGCCGCTTTTAGCAATATTCCAGCAATATCACGGCGGGGGACACCAGAAATGGGCTTAACACATTGTGCCCATGTGGGGAATCGAACCCGGGTCTTCGGCGTGACGAGCCAACGCTTTAACCACTAGGCTACCCCACCGCCCCATTTCACTAAGGAAGGAAGGATAACAATATATGGATGAACAACTTCTTTATTGCTGTGAGAGGGACGTTTCACAGCAATAAAGAAGTTGTTCATTCATATATTGTTATCCTTCCTTACTGCTCCAACTTCTAAATGCCTCTCAAAGAAGTTATATATATATCACTAAAAGTATATTGGATTCTTTAAATAACATTTAACTGAACATATATTGGATCGCGTTGTCCTCGAACGTAGGACACGTTCCCCACGATATTTACACAATTTACCTAAGTCGCTTTGTACAACACAATATACAAGAGCACTTAACTGAAAAAGTATATTATCTTCTTTAGGCAAATTCAGAGTTCAATGGATACCATACTCAGCCCAATAGGTGTATTTTCGGCGTTTCTACAAGATCCCATTTAAGTTTCTACATTTAGTGAGATCTCGCTTTGTTCATAATATATTTTATCTAGAAGACAGTTGTCATTTTGCTCCACGTTCGTGTAAAGTATCGTTTGAAATATACTGATGTTCGCTGTATTTATTGTGGCTGTCCAATATGAAATTCTTTTCTTTCACTCTGATCCATTTTCATCCGTCCGAAAACTCACAATAATGGTACAAGATATTCAATAAGGTGTCTATTCAAAGTCTTAGAAATTTTATTGAGAGTGTATTATGATTTCTTTTAACGGAACAGTAACTGGTTTCTTTACAGTCTCGATCATGAAGTCGGATGAACAACAAACAGGAAACAAGGTTGATAACTTGGCCTCCACAGTGGAAGGTACATCGACGACTTAAACTATTTCAAATCACCGATGTATGCTGACAATTATAATCAATGGTTTGTCTGGTCCAGACGCTATTTACATGGCGTCATTATATCACTGAAACATTGCAGAATGTTTCGTTCAATGTCAATGAAGTTCACATAAAGCACACAAATATTGTTTGAAGTACCGTAGCTCCATCCCGCTGTAATATTGTTTATACGTGTGAATACACAAGACAAAACATTCAACAATAATCGTTAGAAATGTTCATGTATGATCCATCATATGCGCGTTATTCTCCCACTTTATTACAAAATGCGTGGAAATGCGTGTGTATTGCACACATGTGACGATGGTAAGATAATTTACATATCCGTGTGTGCATGGCCTCGATGTGGGAAGTAATTATTATTATACAATGGAATGAATGGCCTTCGATATAAACGATATGTCTTTCCATTTTTTCACCAAGCCCATATACATATGCAACCAACACTGTGTTCAGGGTCGGCACAGGTTGGTGTCATCAATCCTAACCAGACTAAGGCAAATACCTTCCTCTTGTCGCGGCACCGGTGGTTATATGTCCCTATCACCTCACTTGGATTAAGTCATAATACAGGAAACAGTCATAGTGAGAGGTGACATTGTTTCTCAACTCGTTCAGTCTGCGTAAGAGTCAAAGTACAATCCAATGGCGAGTAGTGAGTGAGTGAGTTAAATTTCACATCGGCAGTATTTCAGCCATATCGTGACTATATCAACATATATATAATTACCAATATAACTAATATATCACAAACAACTAATTTATCACAGATATAAATTTAAAAAAACAGGCAATAATAAAAGATTGCCAACAACTGAAGGTAGACCACCATACTAGGGACCATGGGGACTTACAGTACATTTGCTTCCTGCATGGACCACAGCTTGATGTACACCATCCCTTCAGCTATTAGCAATTTTAGATAATCTTGCTATAAATTAAAATAACATATATGCTACGAAATAGTAGTAGGTTTAAATTAACTTTGAATGTTTTGGGACTTACGTACTCTCTCAGGAGGACAATAATATTACAATACATCAACCCCCTTTGAGGGTACATCCACTAACAATCCAATTGGCGAGTAACAGTGGGGATTGAAGCCATGTAATTGGTTGGCTGGTTGGTTGTTTAACGCCGCACTCTCCATGGCGGCGGTCTGTAAATAATCGAGTCTGGACCAGACAATCCAGTGATCAACAGCATGAGCATCGTTCTACGCAATTTGGATACTATGACATGTGTCGACCAAGTCAGCGAGTCTGACCCCCCTATCCCGTTAGTCTCCTCTTATGTCAAGCATAGGTTACTGAAGATCAATTCCAACCCGGATCTTCACGGGCCAGTATATACGCTATGTAAGTAATGTAAACTGTAAGATTCTCGATATGTACGTCACGGATGAAGGATCATTGGTATTTGGAATGAAATGCTCATTCAGACTAGGGTTGTCTCAAATCTGGACGTTTTCAATGACATATATAGAATGAAAAAGGATTTATACCAATTATCTCCATTGATACATTGTTTCCAACCATTGGTCCAGTGTAAAGTAAGGTCATCAGTTTTCATTCATGTTGTTCCAGGTCTGGAGAGTAAATCTGAAAAAGTTGAAGAACACATTGGGGAGCTGACTGAGCGGCTATCGACAGCTGAAGGTGATTCACATTGACGTGCAGTTTGGTAGCCTCATAAAACACGACGGAATAATAATATCAAGTAAATGAGCAAGACCATTCATTTGTTTTGAAGTATTTTAATTCCTCAGATGTAATTTCGAGACAGACAAAAACTCTCTTCACATTGCACTTTCTTCGTTTTTTCAAGAAACTTTTTGTTCTCTCGTGAGGTGTCCACCATATACTAATTATGATGCTCCACATTGAAGGTAGTGACGTAACTGTAAGGTATTCTTTGCAAATAGTTCGTCAGTGTAAGGAGAAGCTTGTCGACTTGAACCTGTAATATTTTACTGTTAGGTGCAAATTGTTAAAGTTCTCTTAAAATACATAAATAAGTTGATTTTTGGACAAGCAAGCTTGTAACGTGATTATGTGGCTGTACTGTCCTGTTATGGACCACAGTTGTGGTACTGAATAATGATCTTGATCTCCACAGATCTTGATAGACTGTTTGGAGCACATTGTTTGATGCATTTTCTTCCTTACCTCCTCCGCCTCTCCAAACTGGACTGTATGGCGGGGTAGGAGCAGCTTCACGACCAATGCCATAAGTAAAGATATATAGATGAACAACGTTATAACTGACTTCCCTGTGTGTTCCAGAAATGGTATCCAGCAAGTGACGTACCAAGTATGGCTGAGTGATATACATTTGTATAAAATATATCTTACCCTTATTTAGTGGTAAGTGGCATTTATAGGTGGCCTTCGGAAGCACGAATAATGAAGATGGACACATTTCATGGATTGGCAACTTCTTTGTTGCACTAGATGCTAAGCAAGTGATGGTAACGATGTTAGCAACTACAGCGACAAGACGGATTGTGTCAATCCATAAAATGTGTTCCTCCTTTCAAATGCTTCTAAAAGGAAACCCAGGGTCATGTCGCTCCTTTGTAGACATCACGATATAATAACCATCAAGGCATAAGAAAGCATGACATCTGGCGGTAGTATGGTTCACAAATGTAAGCTGTGTTGTTGCAGCTAAGGCGTCCATGGGGTCTCCTTGTTACGGAAATTCCGACTGCCTGGTCGAGCGCTCGCTGTGCATCAACGACGTGTGCGTGTGTGACCCCGGGCTCGCCTACCACCCTGAGAAGAACATGTGTGTGTACAGTACGTTCATTTCCTTTACCCTTTACTTTATGAAGAAGCGTGAAGATCCGGATCAGAATTGGTCTTAAGCATCCCATGTATGTCGTAAGAGGCGACTGTCCGTTCCCCAAAGCGCGCTGAAATGGATGGAATTATCATGAAACCACCTTCTTGTTATCAGAAATGAGCGGGCCGTTGCAAATGATAATGACCCGCTAATTCCTAACACGACGGGCCATTATCAGTTCTGTTATCAAATCATGTCACAGCGGGTGACGTCACGCTCCATAATGACGTCATAAATATTGTTCAATAACCTAACAGTGTTGGGTCAACAGTCCGTTGCGAGTTGTTTGAAGTAAACCTACAATTGAATTTATGATACTGTTTTGTCCTTTTTTAACACAAAATCCATCCATTTTAGCTTCAATAGGGGTAAGGCTGTTTTTCAGAGCATTATAATTCGCGGAAGCCCTCGTTCTTTTCAACTGACCTCCTTCGTAGGGCAGTTAATGGAAGACCTAAAGCTTCTGCAAATGGTAATGCCCTGAAAAACAGCGTTACCCCTATATTACTGCATGAAAGGCCATGGTCTCGGCCACACTAGAAATTACAAAGATATTGGTGACAAATGAAAAAATCTAAGCTTCCAACTCAAATCTGTATGACATTCCATGCCCCGTTTCGAGATTATCTCCCCTTCTACAGTCTTGTGACTAGTATCAGACTGCTCCTTTTATTGATATTTAATACATATTTTATATAGAGATGAAATTACAGACAGATTTATTTAGTAGAGTGTCCATGAGGCCAAAAGTACAGTGACATGTTTACATCATGTTCCTTGGAGCGCTGGCATGAGAAGTACACAGGCATTTATAAGTATCATACAACGTTATGGATTTTGTTTACAAATATGGCTAGGCGTAAAATAACATTTGCATTTTGGGTATTAAGTAAATTTACAAACTTCTGTATGTTGGGATTTACACAATAATATTGTGGTATATACCTGATGCGTAAATCAGAATAAACAGGACATTGTAATAGAACATGGTACTCGTCCTGGACAATATTGACGCAATGAGCGCACATGGCAGAACTGATATCATCATCTTTGGATCTTCTATGGGTTTGTACATTCAGTTTACTGATGCCACATCTAAATTTTGTAAGAGATCTGCGGAGTTGCATAGAGGATGATACTTTTAAATATGTTTCATGGACAATGTCATGTTTAAATAGTGAATATGCATACAAATATTTGGAGCTTGCAATATCGGATGACCATTCTTGGTAATATATATCTCTACAGCGTTGTTTGAATAGCTTTAGAACATATTAGGATCTCCAACTGTTTGGTGGATCCATACATGTGCATAACCGTATTGAAATAACAATGTTCTAACTGAAGAGGTCCAGTTAGTATCTCCATTATCATCTAGCTTTTTCATCATGTTATAGCAACGTTTAGAATGTCTTGTGGCTGGCTGGCTAAGTAGTCGTAACCAGTGTGATATAACTCTTGTTTAATAATTGACTTGAAGTGGATATCTTCCACATTCCGCTAAAACAGCTTTATTAGAAGAGCGATAACCAACTCCTAGGACAAATTTGCAAAACGTAGAGTGGACTTTTTCAATGTTATGACGATACATTGTTCCCTAAATTTCTGAGCCGTAGAGCAAGATTGGTTGAATTTTGCCATCAAAAATCTTAAGGCATGTATCTGGGGAAAGATTTAAATCGACATATAAATTTTTGATAGGATATAACGCCTTCTCGGCTTGTTTACACAGAACCTCACAAGCTCTTGAAAACAGGTTCCGGCATGAAAACACTATTCCGAGATATTTGTAATACGAAACAGATTCCAGTCTTTCAGAGCCAATCAACCATTTTTCATATTTTGAAAGTCCACCACCTTTTTCAAATACAACAATCTTAGTCTTTTCGGTATTAATCGACAGTCCCCATTTTTTGCAATATGATTCAAGAACATCTATTTTCTTCTGCAAGTTTATGACACTATGAGATGAATTTATACATGTAAAATGATGATAACCTTCGATTCCATGTGTACAGAATGTACAGCACTTGTTCTGAGATACCTCTTGCCTCTGTCAATTCTTACACCATCCATGACGTCTCTTTGCAGACTGTACTACCTATGGACAACATTATACAGCTCTGCGCGGCTACTACATCGGCGATCACAACGTCCAAAACTTCAACGGCTTGTCTGAGGCGCAATGTAAAGACGCCTGCACCGCCGTCACTTCCTATGTGTGTAGGTCTGCTGATCTCCGTACACGTGACGGGTACTGTTCCCTCACTCATGAAAGTCTCAAGACAGTTCCACAATCCAGCTACCGAGTAGAAAGTAAAATCTCAATAATCACACACTATTCGAGAAATTGCCTGACCTAACCATCCAGCATTATTGTTTTTTATTTCAGGCAGTTCTTCCTTTTGTCTTCAATGCGTTAGTGTGTTCTGTTAACCATGCTTTAACCAAATCCTACAGCTTAAAATACCAGGAATTTCTTGGGTTATGTGTGTAGTTTATGGTCAGGGACGAGGAATATCTATTTTCGCAGTTGCATCCATCAGTTTTCATGGTGCAGTTGCCCCCAAGTCGGAAAAGTATGAGAAAGGGAGGTCACTCCAATTATAAGTTGGAACCATCTCCTATTTGAGAAAAACTGTCGTTGGTATCACATGTTTCTCGTGTAATGTAACAGTAACTATGAATATGTGTCGCCCTGAAATACGTGAACTTCACGGAGGGGTTGTCAGTCAAGAGTGATGAACGTGTTCAACATGAATTAAAAATGCAATCTGATGATTTTTGCTGTATTTTATTTAGTGGTAATGTGTGTGTGATTATGCTCCGAATACTCATGCTGTTAACCACTGGTTTGTCTTGTCCAGATTGTTATTTTAATTAATAGTCCAGCTTTATGACCGCGGTCTGACAATAACCATGTCTGAATGAGACACTCCAGCAACTGACGAAATTTGGATATGATGACATCCATCACCCAAGTCAGCACTCTCCTACCCAGAGTTCCATGCGGCCAGCCAGCACAGGCCAGAAAGATGTGACGCTTCGTCACATCTTGCAGAGTCCATTCAATATGATGTACATATTTTTTAGCTCTTGTATTTTTTACGAGTCTACACATCTAACTAAACATCTGTGTTAGTATTGTTTAGTTTCACGGAGAAAATATCCTAAAACTTTTATATATCGTTTATTCGTTTTTTAGGCCATCGGCCCATGTACATCGTTGAACATTAATATATGATGATATGGTGAAAGTGACAATGATTATACATTGCGGAGAGGCATACAATGTTTAACATATTTTGCTACATTTAGAATAATTTCATGATCTTTACTGCATAGTAGTAACTTATAAGAATAAGAAGTAGGGTAATCAGAAAATCTAGATGATATATATTTTCTCCTTATCAAATTATTCATTGGGCACTCAAACATATATACCCTGCCTACGACCAATGGGTAACTCGTCTAATCTAAGCAAACATAAATATCTCCTCATCTGCCAGTTTCTAATATTCATGATATAATATTCTGTATCAAAGCACGATTTTAACTGGAGTTCTAAGATGCCTAGCGGTTAGAACAATAGAAAAAAAAATACATTATCAGACAATAAAGGTATAGTTTTTTGATGACGTAACAATTGAATGACGTTTCCCGTCACTGCGCCATTCTAGTGTGCCCCCTCGTAATCGAACCATTTTACATTACGTCACAATGTAGGCGACGCAACGATGCATGTCAGCTGTCATCGCATCGTACGGCCTCCTACAGTAAACTACTCCGTTGCATCCCGTTTTTTGGGTTTGCAGTTGCTTCACGCAGCTACAGGTTGTTCAGCTTGACCTGAGCTACTTTACATATGCCTGACCCGGGAGGTCAAATGGGACAAACGGCTGGTCGAGTTTTTAACTGCATTAAATAGGGGAGCAGAGAATGTTGTTATTGTTGCGTTCGTGCGAAACATGCATACATGGCTTCGTTACAGAACTTGTCCCGGAAAACAACACATCTGAAAAAAAACGTCATTTCATGTTTTAATTGAATTTTTTTACAGTCATATGCTATCTAGTTTGGTTTACTATCTTTACAATGTAAAGTCAGTTACTTTCAGAATCCGATTCACCCTCGCTATCACTCTCTCCATCCAGTTCAATTATCACTTTTTCTATGTCATGTTCAACTGCAATATTTCTGTCCCAGTAGTCGCTTTCCAATTTTTCAACATGGGCACAGCAATCAGTCCATTGGCCCATATAAGTTCGATTGGGTTCAGATCTGCGTGGTATGGAGATAGCCTGATTCCTGTGTGACCGTGTAAAGAAAGTAAGGACATTGCTGGCGATTTCTCGACACTGAGATGTCAAACGGCGACCTTGTCTCGGCTGTTCGGACATGTTGACAATCAGCTGGCAAAGGTGCACCCCTTCACAATAATACACCCAACCAGTTGTGACACGGTCACGCAATGCATTAGTATTCACTTGATCAGGTCAAGCTGAACAACGTGTAACATCAATGGTGGAAACATTACGTTTATGTTTTACGACGGTTAAAATGTGTCAATTCGACTCACAAGTTTTCAGCGACACGGTAACGTTCGCAATGTTTACATTCCCACAATGCAATCGTGGAATGTCGCTTGACTACTCAGCTTCATCTGGATGTACTGATCTAAACTTACGTTGGTAGTAGAAATGCGACGATCATATTGTCCCTGACGGTTTACGTTAATGACAGATGAATTAAAATAATTTAGAGAAGATATTTAATCCGAACGTAAACCGTCATCAAACTGCTATCATTTGTTTTTTTCTGGTAACGTTCGTCTTTACGTAGGGGGCAGACACATCAATAGAACAGCGCGCTTGTTAGCCCTTTGCGAGGATTCTTAATTTAGGTCACCGACACCGTCGTTTGTTTTCTGCCTTAAATTAATCGTAATTATCCTTAGAAAGTATTAAATTTGGCATCTTAGAAAAGAAATACAGTTCGGTCTACCACCATGTATAGTGTAATAAAGCACACTTTCGCCCTGAACTATTATAACGTTAAAGCATTCGGACGCAAGCGTCCTCGTACTTTAACTAAAATAGTTCAGGGCGAAAGTGTGTTTTATTACACTATACATGGTGGTAACGAAATGTATTTCTTAAATAAAAGTTTAAACCTGTCAGATGTACTTAATATGTTATTAAAAATTGCCTGTATATTACATTCACATATGCGTTGCTTAAATAGCACTAAAAAACATATCCACATTACCAATATCCTAAAACAGGTACACATCACCAAATCCGAAACTGAAAAGTAATTGCCTTACACCACTTGCCCATGTTGTCCTGTCAGATTCATCGAGTTGTTTCATTAAAAGATAACTCTGCCAGGGATTCTTACTATTATCTATCCTCAAATGTTTGCACCAATATTTAACACATTTAACATGATAATCTACATACAATTGATGTCTACCACACTCCGCCAAAAACAGCATTACTAGAATTATATTTGCTAACCTCTAGCACAAACTTACAGAAATTAGCATAAAATGATTCTAGCACTGGATACCTCTGAAATCCCAAAACTTCGGCACCATACAATAACACAGGTTTCATTTTAATGTCGAACAATGTGAATGAAATATTAGCTGGCAGTTCTGTAACACTATTTCGATTTCCTTTGTTTACATGGGTTGTACGGCTCCACGTGCTGTCATCGAAGCCTAATTGAGAACAAACGATGCAGCCGCTTTGATATATCAATATGTATTGTCTTAAACCTTACTGTCGCAGTTGTGGAAGATTAATTATTTCACAATGTAAAACATTATGAAAACCGCGCCGAATTGGTTTCGTTGGGCCAATATCTTTTTACTTACGAATATGCGCGTTTGTTTACAAACAAGAGAAAAGTCCGGTCACGTGATATGCAAATTAGCCTGTGGCAGTGGTGTTATGCTAAGTCATCGCTGCGCCGGAGTGTGCCAAGTCAGCAAGTCTGACCACCGATCCCGTAAGTCGAACCTAACGACAAGCATGGGTTGCCGACGTCCATTTCTATCACGGCCCCATGTTATTAACAGAATGGTGTATCCCTGTGGGATGGGGAGCTTCCCTGTTACATTGGGTGTCCTGAAACCTTAAGCTCCACGTTCAGGTCAACCTGTCACATCGGTTGCCAGTTAAACAACATTTCACATTTAACAATTACATTTAAGACAATCGTACAATGCTGATTGAATATACAGTGGTACTAGGGTGATTTTGGCGGTAGATCAGCCTGTGACGGACAGTCCGGTCGGACCCTGTGTTGTTGTGGACTACTGTTCACTGAACGCCGAGTTCAGGCTGCACCTGGGAGATGCGAGTAGAAGGTTGGTACAGATTGAGACAACTATCTTCCTTTCTCCCCGTTTCACTGATTGAACTGACGGGAGGAATCGATCACAGCAGTCCGGCCACACTGTAAGTCACCCTTGATCAACTCTCTCTTCCATTGTGTGAGATCATATATTTTTTTTCTCGATTTCATAGGCTAAAACACATGTATCACAGCAGGTTATATTGCTCATGAGCGGATCCAATTGATCCCCCTGGACCCCCGATTGGCTCCGCCAACGGAAAAACAAATCTTCAAAGTTGTCTTAAGTCATTTTCAAAAGAGGGGGTTCGAACCCCCTGAACCCCCACACTGGATCCACCAGTGCTCTTCCCGTTGTTTAAAAAATGCATTATCAACACAATAGAGTCCTTTATATTACATTTGAAATTATTCACCTTTTCTGTGCTCTGCTGTGAAATGTGAGAGACTATTGAACGAGACATTCATTCCGCAATACACATGTGCGACAACTATTGCCGGTGCTACATTATCGAGCACTGTAAATGCTGTAACGGGATACAGTGTACAAGGAAGTAAACTGTGGCACAAGCTAGCTGTAGCAAACTGGAAAGCCCCGGCCTAAAATAGAACAGTTGAGCCACGTTTATATATATACCATGCCATTATGCACTAGATAGTCCAGTCTTAAGTCTCCTGGATTTTAATGCACTCTATTGAAAAGGTAACCTGGTTTTATGTCAGTGACAGCGGGTTTGGTGTGACTGGGCTCACATTACGTGGTGTATTGTGCTATTTTCGTACTGTTGTGTGGAAAGTTGGGTGCGTCAGGCAATATAGTTATTTCGTAATTCGAATCAATTATATGTTGCACACTTTGCCGTGTGTCTTGGGTGTTTACATTACAATAATCAACTATGTGCTATCGACAGTTATTTCAAAGATAATATCCATTGTTTCTTTGCTCGGTCATCACGTCTTACAGTGTTATGTATTTTTATCGATCAGATTTGTCTTTAAAGCTACACGCATCATTATTGTATAACACGGCGGCCTGCCAAACTGAAACTATGAGTGAGTGAGTGAGTGAATTCGGTTTTACGCCGCTTTTAGCAATATTCCAGCAATATCACGGCGGGGGACACCAGAAATGAGCTGCACACATTGTACCCATGTGGGGATTCGAACCCGGGTCTTCGGCGTGACGAGCCAACGCTTTAACCACTAGGCTACCCCACCGTCCCCCCTGAAACTATGAGCATCGATAGATGCAATTTGTACGCAGTTAGATTCCTTGAACCAGGCCAGCGAAAATAAACACGCATCGTATTTTACAACCAGTAAAGCCTGCTGTGTTTCCCGTCTATATTTAGACATCCCCTGTCGCTCATACACATCATGATCATCTGGGTCAGTATGACCCGCTTTAATGACGTATACACTCATGTCATGACATGTGAACATAGAACGTTTAAGGTCCTGATTCTCTTGCCCTGTTGCAAGCCAACCATATTGGATACAAAATACTCAAATGCACACGATGATGGATAACACTGAAAGCACAGTATCGAGGAAAGGGGAACAGAAAAGGCATGGGACAGGTGAGGCAAATCATTTTATTCTGCATATTCTTGGCCGCGGAGTCGATGATTTAGCACTCAAGAGGGGGGATTTGGGGCAGCCTAGTGTTAACGAGTTCTCTCGTCACGCCGAAGATCCTGTTTCGATTGCCCACATGGGTTCAAAGTGTGAAGCCCATTTCTGGTGTCCCCAGCGGTGCTATCGTTGGAATATTGCTAAAAGCGTAAAATTAAACTCACTCACTCACTAGAAGAGAAGGTATGCACGAAGGAACAGAAAGGAAATTGAAGGGCAAAAATACTATACCGTGTTTTGGGGAGGTTTATTTGTTTTGTTTTTGTATTTTGGATTACTCTTTCTGAATAAAGTACAGATTCTAGTACTTCTGTTGGGTTGAGTCCGAAACCACACCCTCAGAGTCAGGCTTCAAATCGCCTGCACACAAAGTAAGCGGTTTCCTACAAGATCAATACGTTTTATTATCTTACCTTAATGTGAAATACTTTAATTTAATTGGTCAATGACGCTTTAACAAGTTTCCGTGTCACCCCCTCCCAGGAGGGTGACAACTGGAAAATATATTATCCGCTGCCACGGTAACCGCCAAACTCTCCGCCGAGAAGCTGTATCGCTGACAGTCGTATGACGTCATAATATGACGCATGCAGTGTCCGGAGTTTTAAAACCGTTCGATTAGCTGTTTCTGATTTCAGTATGTACAGATTCTTGGTGTTGCATTGCCATGCATTGTATGCTATAACGGGGTTGATTGAACAAGGATGTAAACTGTGGCGCAAGCTATATATAACGGTTGCAAACTGGAAAGCCCCGGCCTGAAATAGAACAGTTAAACTACGTGTATAGATACGCTAGTGTTCTAGATAGACCGGAAATTTCAAATCAGTGCGGGAATTTCAGTCTCCTGGAGCAGGAAGTGAGTATATCTGTAAACCGTTGTATCTGATTTCCTAGGTGTATTTTAATGCACTCTATTAAAAATGTAGCGGGTTTTATGTCAGTAGTAGCGGGTTTGTTCTGACTGGTGACAGGGCTAACATTAGGTGGTGTGATGTGCTATTTCCGTACTGCTGTGTGGACATTTGGGTACGTCATGCGAATATAGTTATTCCTAATATTCGAATCAATTTATATATTTTGCACACTTTGCTGTGTGTCTTGGGTGATTACATTACAATAATCAACTATGTGTTATCGACAGTTAATTCAAAGGTAATGTTCATTGTTTCTTACCATATTATGTATTACCATATTATGTATTTCTATCGATCAGGGTTCATGCATGACGAAAGCGTGAATTAAACAACACTGATGAAAAGATATATTTGTGACTCTTTAAGCCGGACGCATTTATATTCCATCCGTAAAACGGCGGTCTGCCAAGCTGAAATTATGAGCATCGACAGATGCAGTTTGGTTTCCTTGAACAGATCAACGAGCATACACACGCGATGTCTTTACAAGCAGCCAACTTTGCGCTTGGCCTATGATTGTTGGAAATCCCCGTCTATATTTAGACACCATCTGTCGCCCATACACATCGCGATCATATGGGTCGGCGTGACCCGCTTTAGTGACGTATACACTCATGTAATGACATATGAACGCAGAACCAGTAAGATCCAGGACTTGTAAGATCTGTTGCACTGTTGCAAGCCAACTACATAGCATGCTAAATACTCAAATACACACAATGGTGAATAACGCTGAATGCATCGGTTAGTATCGGGGGCAAAAGGAACAGAAACAGAATGAGACAGGGGAGGCAACTCTTTGCACCCTGCAAACAGTTGGTCGCGCTCTCGATGACACAGCATTGTGAGTCTCACTCAAGAGAAAGTATACGACGTCTATTGGGCATGTGTGAAGGAAAGAAAAGACATTGAAGGGCAACAATACTATACCGTGTATTTTCGTAGCTTTTGTAAGTAACTGGAAATTGAAAGAACGTTTGCTCAGTTTGATTATGATCTAAGATTTAAGCGTCTCAACATTACTCAGTCCTGCAACAGCATGTAAACTAGTATCTGTAGTTGTGAACATAAGCTGGTTCATTGAAGACTGGGATCAGACATGAGTCGGCATCCACATGACTTTGTTCGAAATGTTGTACGTTTGTGCCGAAGGAACCATAACTAAAGCAGCCGCCAGTAGTTTAATATTGGTTTAAGGAATTGGCAAATATTATATTGAATATTAAGCCACACAGACGTGAACATCACATGGACTTTAAAGTCAACCAAAATGTATGGTTTCATTTGCTCGTCAGTTTAGCGTCAAGGGTCATGTCGATATCAGTTAGAAAGAAAACAAATGAAGGGTGTTTTACAAATCTAACATTCAATCTACTGATCGATACGGTTCACCAATGTCATGTCTAAATCTTCTCCAGAATTGACTGCACGTCCTCGACGTTCCAGTAGAAACAGACAACAACAACCTCCACACGTGCGTTTATGGGACAACAACCTCCACACATGCGTTTAGGAGACAACAACCTCCACACATGCGTTTATGGGACAACAACCTCCACACATGCGTTGATCGGACAACAACCTCCACACATGCGTTTATGGGACAACAACCTCCACACATGCGTTTATGGGACAAGACCCTCCACACATGCGTTTATGGGACAACAACCTCCACACATGCGTTTATGGGACAACAACCCACAGGGACCAATATCTTCATTTCACATCTTAACACACATACAGCATATTTTCATCGGACACTACATTGGTATCACCCTTCGTGACTCTTGGTGCGAGTATCTGGAGTAGTTCATCAAAAGATTCTGGCGTCTCTATTTCTCTCAAGAAATTGAAGAATGCCCTTGTATCCTCCAGTCTCAGTTCAGAGTCTGGTGTAGAGCCCATATAACAGCCTTCTATCAGCTTGCAGCCATGGCCGAACCCAATTACGACGTGGTCTTCTATGCCTTCTTCTCAGTCCCCTTCTCAGGACCTCAAGGGTCACTGCATCTTGTTGCACAGTTTGTTGCTGCAGCATCAAAACAAAGCCCAGGGCTGCAGTGTTGCGAGGAAGTTGATCCATTAGTACCGTCAGGAGGTGCAGGCCGCGTTTATACTCGACTGCCGATAGTGGCGACAAATCCGACCAGTATTGGAGTCAGTGTCCGATTACCCTACGAATAGTAACTGATTTGTCGGATTGGTGTCGGGACAGTGTTGGAAGTGTCAGATTAGTGTCAGGTCACCCTCGAATTACAATCCGACCGCAATCGGATCAGTCGGACGCCGCCGATGAATATGGCCGACAGACATCGGGCCGCTACCAGTCTTTCATCCGATTCACCAAATCAATGTTGGATCTCTATCGGATTTTACAGGAAAAGTTGACCCCCCAAAAAGGATGTCGGGTGAAGTTTCATCGGAACTCATCGGAACGCTGAAATTTTCGCAAAATGGGATCAGATGGGCATCAGATGAGGTTCGGATGGTCAGTGAAATAGGGGTGTAACATCAGTATCCAGCAAATCTAGTCAACAGAACCATCAAGACAAACCTCAACCCAAAAGACAAACCACCACATCAGCATTGAGCACCATTCATGATCAGCACACCATACATCGATACAACAATCATACCCGCAGACTAATATAAATAAACAAGCCAACATAGTTGTTCTGCTCCAGAGAGGCATGTCAATTCAACATATTCTACAAGACAACGGTATACCAACTACAAGCAGACCCTTCAGGTTTTGTCTACTACTTACAATGCGAATGTTGTGCCTTATACGTTGTTGAAACGCCCTGACCACTAAACATGTGAATCAAGGAACACGAGACATCTGTAAAGAAAAAGACCCCAAATCAACCATTCCCGACCCCAAGCCCATCCGAATCATATCATTCTCTGGAACATCGACACCCATCAACATCAACAACTCGCCAGAAAGATAGAAAACTCTCAGAGGCAATCAGCATCTAAACCTTTAGCTTCTCCCAAACACTCCCGTGTTTGTTTGCTAATACATGTACACTTCACTGTCAATATGGCGCTGCAAATATATATTAAATCATTGTTCCCATGTTGTACTGTTTGCCTTTAGGCTACATATACAAAAATATCTGCCTGTTTGTCTGCAATTAACATCAAAAGACTCAATGCAACAATCAACAGAAATCGAGGTTATTACACCCCTAGAGCTTACCATCATATAATCAAAGCTAATCATGAATAACCCTGTCCTACCCTTTGTACATCTGGCTTCATAGCCATTATCTGTAATCACAATAACTAGCAGTAATGCCATCACACCGTACAATTGCATAAAAGAAGTGTTCTATCCATAAACATTGTTCCTCTGCATCTTACTAGCTTCTAAATGCAACTTACAGAATTGGACGGCAATTGCATGTTTCCTCGTTGCAGACAACCTGACCAACACAGAAATGGATGGCCGAGCACTGACGAGCCGCAAATGCATAGCGGTGATACTTACAATCAACGTTGCTCTCATCGCAACTTTCATCTCAATTTCCTTGACAAAGACCTACGACGCTCAAGAAGGGAGTGTACCAGGGACCATAAGGTCCACTGTACTGGTAGGTGGTGTCGCGATAAAGACCACTCTTCTCATAATAAAAATATTTATGTAAGCTGCCTTATGAACGCATTTGTAGTGTGGACCATTCTTAATTTGTGTGTGTGTGTGTGTGTGTGTGCGTGCGCGCGCGCGTGTGTGTGCGTGTGCGTGTGTGTGTGTGTGTGTTGGTAAGCTTTCGTTTGATTATAGCATAGCAGGTCAAAACCTATTTACGCTAACACAAAATATCCTGGTCTGGTCAAAAGATACAAGAGGATTGATTATTCTCTGAAGTTTCAATTTCAATTACAAATTCATTGCCATTGCTGGCATATACTATATAGTTCTATCTGACACAAACGCATACAAGTATAAAATGGTATATGTCGAGGAAAAACCAGAATGTTGTCTGTATATGGAAAAGAAATTAACATAAACAAATAGCGATGGCACTTTTTTTTAATAGTATGGATGTTTTAAACTTTGTTTTATATTTTCGTGTCTGACAGGACTTCCTAAATTTGACCAAAGAGGGCTTTGCTGAAGGTAAGCTTCTTTGCTCTTCCTTATCCAGTATATCTATGTTATCTTAGCATCTCCCCATTCAGTGTCAAACATTTGTGAATTTCTTGTATGAGTGTCATTTTAGAAGCTGGGAAGTAAAATATTGACACACTTAATCGATAACATATTTTATATCGTGGGTGTGACGTGTCGGTTCAGATTCTTGTAGCAATGGCTTGAATTTCTATGAAGGTTCGAGACTGGAATCATATAATGTCAATTTGGGAGGAAACCAGGCGGTCCGAAACAATCCCAGCATTACATCTTGGCTTGAAGCAGTTGGCTCTGGCCCCACAGAAAGGTAAGTGCTTGATGCAACTATGACAGTGTGATAATCAAGCATGCCTTTAGCTGCCTGATGATGCTTGACAATGACTGGTAATGACCAATGAGATTTACAACAACCCACGATGACCAAAAAGTGATGATGACGCATACCAATGATGACGATCGCCGATGATGACTGATGATGACCAATGATTGATGGATGATGACTCATAATAACTAATGATGACGATGGTCGATGATGATCAATGATGACAGACGATGAAAATGACCAATGATGACTTAGGATGACCGATGAATACTGACGGTGACTGATGACTACTGATAACTGATGGTGACTAATGACGATCAATGATTTCTCAAGATGATGGCTCCTTATAACTGACGGTGCCTGACAATAGCTGGCGATTACTGAGTTTTGACGACTTGCGATGACTGTTGATGACTTATCATAAAGGATGATAACATAGGGCAGATGTCCGATGATTACTGATGACTGATGACTCTTAATGAGTAATGATGAGGGAGGGAGTGAGTTTAGTTTTACGCCGCACTCAGCAATATTCCAGCTAGATGGCGCCGGACTGTTAATAATCGAAACTTGACCAGACAATCGTGTGATCAACAATATGAACATCGATAGGCGTATGTTGGAACCGATGACATGTGTCAACCAAATCAGCGACTCTGAGAAGTGGTTCAGTTGCTGCCATGGTTGTATTTACGGTAGTGGTAATGGGATTTATGAGTTTCCTGCATATATGTGTGTGTCTGTGCGTGTGTGAGTGCGTGCATCGTGCGTGAGTCTGTTTTCTTGTTCTCGCCATTCAGGACTCAGAAGTATAGTTTGTTTCTGTGAGTACCAAAACATTTCAAGGTACACTATTTGCTTAGCTGATGGAATCAGATGTTTAACTAACAACCTACTACATTTAGTGTTAAGTGCAAAACGAAAACTTTTTGACTTATAAAATCATAAACTCTTACCATATAATGCCGGTTTGATTATCATACTTTTCAAACATGTTAAAATGCTTTAGAAATATTAATACAGATCAGTGTCAACCTGTTACCCCAATACATCGAGCATACATCATACATCGACGTCTATTATATGTTTTAACAGATCACAGTATGTCTGTCATTGACCTCCTGAATGACCCGGAAGTGGGGACAACCCTGATACAGCATTTCCGGTTGCAGGAGAACCGAATTGTGGTTTTGAATAGCAGCATTTACGACATGCACACAACCGTCCTCTACAACGTGACGTCATCAGATGGAGCGCGACTTGAACTAGAGTTTCTCAAAACCAACGCCTATGGTAGAGTACAGACTCTGACCAGGACATCTTACTGGTGCAAGGGCAGACAACTCTGCTCCTTGACTCTTGGAGGAACTTTCGTTCTTTCTGTACCTGAACGCTTACATTTTGAAGCTAATTATATTAAGTTTATCATTGGCGCTATCCCAAATTCCCACATCACGCTTGTTCATGTCATGGGAAGATAATATCGACCATAAGTTTACTGTTTAATAAAAAAATTCAAAGTGACAAAAAAGCACGTACCCTTCGAGTAAGGGGCGGCTTGATTCAAAACTTAGATATCGGTAGAATTACACCAGAGATATAATCAAATGACACAGAATTGTTGTTGTTACCGATATTAAAGTTTGAACTGCTTTAAAATTGTTCTAGTATTTATTTTTTTCGGCAAATCAATATGCCTAAAAAGGAATAATCGGGTTGAATACTAGAAAAAAAAATTGTCACACAACAAAATCTATACGTAATTTCTTTTTCAGTTTCGGATATTAGTTTTGATGAATATGTATGTATGTATATGTGTGTATGTATGTATGTATGTATGTATGTATGTATCTATGTATGTATGTATGTATGTATGTATGTACGTCTGTGTGTGTGTGTATGTATGTATGTATGTATGTATGTATGTATGTATGTATGTATGTACGTCTGTGTGTATGTATGTATGTATGTATGTATGTATGTATGTATGTATGTATGTATGTATGTATGTATGAATGTATGTATGTATGTATGTATACTTCCCAGCAGAATGTTAGACTCACTTCGGCAAATCAATATGCCTAAAAAGGAATAATCGGGTTGAATACTAGATATAAAAAAGTGTCACACAACAAAACCTATACGTAATTTCTTTTTCAGTTTCGGATATTAGTTTCGATGAATATGTATGTATGTATATATGTGTGTGTGTATGTCTGTATGTCTGTATGTATGTATGTATGTAGTGAGTGAGTTAAGATTTTAAGTCACATCGGCAATATTTCAGCCATATCGTGACTAAAGCAAGTTGTAAATATATCAACAATTTAAGTGAAATTATAAAATTCTGCCAACGAAGGACAGTAAAATAACTAGATTATCACAGATATAGATATAAAACTAGTAACAAAATCTAAAACATTTGACCTATACAAGACGATACAATATAAAAAACAGGCTAATGATCGCCAACAACTGAAGGTAGATCACCATACTAGGGACCATGGGGACTTACAGTACATTTGCTTCCTGCATGGACCCTAGCTGGATTTACACCATCCCTTCAGCCGTTAGCAATTTAGCAAATCTAGCCATACATTAAAAGAACAGGTATTCTACGATTAAAAAACGGAAAGGTGAAATTTACTATGAATGTTTTGGGACTTACGTACCCTCTCAGGAGGACAATAATTTTACAGTACTTTTACCCCCCTCGAGGATACAGCCACTAACAATCAGTGTTACTAATTCAAACTTCCAATCATAAAATATTTAGTTATTTACAAATCTGTTAACAAATTTAATTCTTTTAAAAAAGCAATAATTAAATGAGGACTTATATCAGTAAAAAGATCCTTCATAGTTCGGGATTTGAAAAAGATATCCCTTGTGATGGAGTACTCAACACAGTCAAGCAAGACATGCTTGACCGTGATTCGTTCATCACAAGGGATACAAAAAGGAGGAACTTCACCTTTTAATAGGTACTCATGCGTATATCTTGTGTGGCCAATACGACATCGTCGTATGATGACCTCTTCAAATCTGGACTGACAACCCAAGTAAGTGTAACCGATATAGGGTTTTATTTCATGTAATTTATTAATACCTACCTGGGCGTCCCACTTCTTTTGCATCAGATCACGGATATAAGATCTTATAGCAGCTTTGTAATCAGAGTATGGGATCAGAAGTGGTGTCACAGATTTGTTGAGGGCTGCCTTAGCAGCAATATCAGCCATCGTATTCCCAGAAATGCCAACGTGGCTGGGTAACCAACAAAAGACGATGTCGCATTGGCCAGTAGCAAGTTCATTGTACAATTCAATAATTTCTAATAAAAGTGGATGTTTGCAAGAAACATTTTTAATAGCCTCAAGACACGAAAGAGAGTCTGAAAAGATGATATATTGTTTATATTTACACTGTTTATTAATATATTTAAGAGTTGTTAGTATTGCGTTTGCTTCTGCTGTGAAAATAGAACTGTCATTGGGTAATCTGGAAGATATTGTTTTGGACCCAATGACAGTGGCACAAGCAACCGCGCCACCAGCCTTGGAGCCATCTGTAAATAAGGATTTATATGTATTATATTTACTTTTTAATTGATTATATTCTTGTTTATATTGTAATTCATTAGTTTCTGCTTTCTTAAACTTAGTCAGTGTGAGGTCGACCTGTGGTCTAACCAATTGCCAAGGAGGAGAAGAAAGAAGACGGGAAGGAGTAATATTTTCCAGCTCAATGCCGGCAGCAGCAATAAATGGCTTAATTCTGAGCCCAAGAGGCGGAACAAGAGAAGGTTTTTTATTATACAAATCCTCATAAAGAGGATTAAAGACACAGTGAAATGCAGGATTAGACTCATTAGAATATAATTTCGTAATATATTGTAAAGATAATTTTATACGACGTTGGGGGACACCCTTATCCTGATTATAATGGTCAGACAGGGTTGAACCCACTCGGACCTGAAATTGCCTGTCTTTTAAAAACTATGTATGTATGTATGTATGTATGTATGTATGAATGTATGAATGTATGTATGTATGTATGTATGTATGTATGTATGTATGTATGTATGTATGTATGTATGTATGTATGTATGTATGTATGTATACTTCCCATCAGAATGTTAGACTCACTTAAAACACTCACTATATGTTATGTATATATGTATATGGTTACATCGAAGATTGATTTCTCCACTAACTTGGGGGAACCAACTGCAAACCTTATGCAGATGAATTGTACGAGGATCATGCATCAAATTGCTGAAAAGCATGTGCAAATATCGTGCATGTGAACAGCTGCGTTTTGGTGTAAAGTTTTGTTAAGAATTCGCAATTTTTCACTGATTTTTAGCATTTATTGAACTCATGGTTATAATCTTTTCAACGTTACCAATTTGTTTTAAAATGCATCAGCTCATGTGTAAACAGTACCTTTAAACAGTATGAAATGTGTTGCAAAATTTAGTTTAGAACAGTTGCCTGAAGTAAGTGGCTATATTTACACTAGTGAGTCTAAACTTATACATTGTATATTTATAGATATATTGCTGCTTGGAATCATATCCAACAATATCACCATTCCCTACCCAGCCTCACCCGCACAAACCCTAGAAAGTTACTTTAAAACTTAAACCACAACATACCTAAAAAAGGGAAAAAACCCTTAAAGAAAAAAATACCAACTAAAACAAAACCATTCTTTTCCCTTCTAAAACCAAAGTCAAACAAACAAATAAAAAAAGCCATGATTACATGAATCGCATGTAAAATATTTTACAGCAGTAGTTTAGATCAATAAAAGCAGCAAATCGCTCCAATAATCATACACAATCTCTACCAAAGGAAGTGTCGATTGCAGCATTCCTTCAATATCGTGACCAAGTGTTTACGAATCAATTTAAAAAAAAGAAATGATGAAGCCAGGTGTTCGTAAATAAGCTACCACAGCCGTATATGTCCACCATTTGAAAATTTGTCCGGCATTCCTGTTCTCGAAGATTTCAAATGGAGACTTTACTTAAGTAAAGTTGTTTGATCAGGGTGATCATTTTAGGCCTTAGGTGAGCATTCAGAGGGTATCCATGTGAACAGTAAGAATGTTGAGAGTATCAGTGACAAATCTTATGTCCGAAGCAATTCTGTAGCTTGAATTGTACCATGTCTTCTTGGTAGTTTTGCCAGATGAACAATTGACATGCCTATGCATGTGTTTGTGACAAGTACCACAGTGGCGCGGAATACAACCACCTCTCCGCTAAAAAACCTGGCGTCATCATATTTAGATAGAGATTCATACATGCTCATGATAGAGTTGGAATCGTACAGTGGACAGTGTTCGATGTTATTATAATGGTTATTGAAAGAGTTTTAATGTACGGATGATGAGCTACTGCTTACAAAAAAAATGTAACGTTCTTTGTTCTGATATTGGATTTCCTTCCTGACTAAAGCTGGGGCCGGACCTGCTCGTTGTCAGTGATTGTATCTGTACCGGCAGATACTCAGATACTAGAACCAACGAACGAACACACACGCACACACACACGCACGCACGCACACACACACGCACGCACGCACGCGCGCCACTGAGACATTTAGCATTGTTACATCTTATAATTTGGTTCTGACAATAAGTTAAGTTTTGCGGGCTGTATAAAGATAAGGACAATTAGGTTACAGAATATGAAAACGTTCCGTGATAGAGCAAGATATTCACTACACAGTAAGATATCATTCATGCGAGGAGGAAATATGACAGATATAAATATTATCTCACAGCCAGGTCGAATGTTAAACTTTATAAGTGGCTCTTCTGGTGAACGAAGAATGAAGATTGTTTTTCACTCAACCAACATATTATTTTACACCTGAACATCGAATCGCAATGCTTTGTAGGTTTCTTTGAAAACTTCTTACTATCGAGGACTCTCTGAGAGAACCTCTTTCTCCGAACTGGTAATACTTTCTATACAACAGGTTCACCTTGGCCTGCTCTATTTTGGATAATGACATAACATCACACAACATTAGGCACAGCCCATTGAGCCTTTTTGTTAAATAGGTGCTTTCAATCCTTCGACAGTTTTTCAACATTGTGTTTCTTCTGTTGAAATGGTTCACAAAAGGGTTCTTTGAAAACTTGAAAGTAACGAAACTAGTCCAGTTGCATAAAGGAACAACTTTCAGTTTCATAATTATAAGTCTCTGCATAACTAATTGGAAAAAAAGAGGGAAAGTAACATCGTTGTGTCGAACTCGAAATGAAAAGTGTTCGACTTAGCTGAATACGCATTGTCATCAGGGCAGAATGCTATTACTGGTGAGTCAGAGTACACAACGGTGTGGAAAGTTCATGGTACACAAATAGTAGAGTCTTTCTTACATGTATCTGTTACACCCTATCCATGCAACAGCCATTGATTGCATTGGGCAGGCGGTTTGCTAAATACGTGAATTGTGCAATACAGCTAACCCACGGGGCAAACAATTTTCTGCTCATTGCATGAAATGTGTAATAATTGTGATCAGAAGGAAAAAATACTTTAGATCTTTCACAATACGCTCACTGTACGCTCAGTCAAATCAGAAAACAAAACAGATGCGGAAATAAACCGAGTTGAACAACACAATCAGATCA